TTTTTATGCCCTGAAGGGGCTTGCCAAAGACCTTTAGATTTTCTGTGACCAACGGACTTCCATCAGACTAATTGAAAATAAGTCGTTTGTTTGTGTGTGTGTGTTGTAACTTCTGAAAATCTGGGGTCGTGATCAGTCATCATCAAACTTTTCGCAAGTATGACCGAAGTCATCGTCGTTCAACACATCAACGCTGGAGCTTCAAAAGTGGTGCTGCGTTGGCCGAATATGCTCGAAAAGGAAAGTTCAATACTTCTCGGCTTTGTCGCAGGATAAATCTGGAGTTGGAAGATGTTCCTTCGCATTCGAAAGTGTGGCAGTTGAAATGGACCACCAACCTCCAAACTTCGTTTGCAGTCAGGTGCACAAAACGAGAAGTGTACTTGAAGCTACTCAGGTGAAACTCGCCATTCGATAAACATCGTTTGGCTCAAGGTTGCGCGGAGAAAAGGATCCGTGCAGCACCACACGACACACCCAACCTTCCCTAGGTTATGAGCCCAAAGACGGGCTGGTAGAGGTAGAAGTCCACCTCACTTTTTTGTGGGTCGTTGGTCCCCATGGAACAACATCGACGACGCAAACAGCAGCGCTCCCGTGAAAGGAAGGAGGAAGCTGCTGCCAAGGATGCTGCTGCCAAGGATGCTTCAGCTGCCTTCAGGGAACCCTCGACGAAGCCCCTGGAGATTGGTGCCGCTGACCGGAGGCTGGACGCTTTGATCGAGGAAGAAATTCGATCGAGGGCTCGTTCTGTGCCAGCTACGTCAACGACCGCCGAAGTGAAGCGTTTGGGGAGCTCTATGGCTGCTTCGTTGGGCCCTCAAGGACCTCCGGTGACCCACCATCCACCACACCCTGCACAAGAACAAGTACACCAATTGGTGATGGATCCTAGGGGACAGTCGATGGGTTTGGGGCATCTCCAAGAAGCGGTGCGCCACTCGTTTGAAGTTCTGCAGAACGCACTACGAGGACCTCAACAACCGGGTCCAACTCTACTTGATCCACTCCTTCGCCAAGCTGATCAGGGAGTCCCTCATGCGCACGATCATGGAGGTCCTCCAGGGCATGCGTTGGCGGCTGGAACCCCGGTCAGGGATGGGAGATCCGATCGGGATGGATCTATGGTTTCTCCAATGGTGGGATCGGTGGGCCGCGAAGCTCTCCATCCAAGAACGCTGGATCCCTATGCGGCGGCAACTCCGGTGGGGCCTCTCAGCACTGTGAATCCTTTTTGGAGCACGTCACTTCAACAGGCTGCAAAAGGTGAAGGGCATGTACGTATGGCTGAAAGCAGTGGAAAGAAACCTGCACCTTCCAGTCCCGGAGCTGGCGATGTGGAGAAGATCCGAGCTCAGATCCTGCGGGAGGCGGAGGATAAGTTCGCTCGTGAAGTCAAGAGGTTGACTGATGGTGGAGCACCTGGTGATGCTTCGTCCTATGCCTCGGCCGCGAGCGCTGGTATTGGTGATGGAGGCCGTGCTCTACCTGAACCTCCTGGACTACCTCCTGGTGATCCTGTGGGCGCGGGAGTTCCGCCATGCACCAAACCTGACCTTCCTCCAGGACTTCATGCTGGACGACCTCAAGGTGACTCTACTCAGCCTCCGGTGATTCCGGAAACCGTGAGGAGCTTGGACCTTCCGAGCTTGCCTCATCCCTCAACTGAAGGAGCTGCACTTCAATATGGAGATTGGTTGACTATGACCTATCCGTTGATGGCAGACCTCTCGGCGACTTCTCAGTTGTGGTGGGATGGATGCTTGGCTGCAGCTGGTGAACTCTATGAGAAGTGGCTCACTGCCACTCCTTTGGAGCGCCTTCGCTTGCGCCCTGTGGAGAACATCGACTCTGTCCACCAACGTGTTGAACAGCGTGGTGTATCGCTCCTCCTGAGCATCTTGCCCGACCAGCTTCGAAGAGATGTGATCGCCAACAGGAAGGTCACAACGGTCAGCATCCTTTTTCGACTTCATGTCCTTTTCCAGCCTGGAGGAGGTGCCGAACGAACTACACTGTTGAAGTGTTTGACGGAAGTGAAAACATCCAACAACATCCAGGACCTCTTGGTGACTACAAGGACCTGGCGACGATGGCTCCAGCGAGCAGAAGAGCTTCGTTTGACCCTGCCTGACCCGTTGATTCTCATGCAGGTGTTGGGGCGCATCATGGACTCCCTGTCGAAATTGGGAGGAAGTCAAGTGGCCTACCGGGTGTCTTCGGTGAGGCAGGAATTGCTGGTGGATCTGAGGCCCGAACTTCAGTCCATCAAAGATCTCAGTGAATACTTGCAGGCGGAGATGGAGGACCTGTCGCTTATGGTGGTGGCCCCAAAGACATCGGCTACAACATCATCGACTCCGTCGAGCCAGACCGCTGCACCTGTTGTGAAAGCAATGCACTCAAGCCAAGGCCAAGATGAGAAGCCGAGGTCGCCGTGCAGATTTTGGGGCTCTCAGTCTGGGTGTCGGAGGGGGGACACGTGTGGCTATGCGCACTCCTGGGATGGACTGGATCGTCAGCAAAGATGTTTCTTCTGTTCAGGAGAAGGTCACATGATGAAAGATTGTCCTCACCGTCAACAGAGGGGCACCAAGGATTTCAAAAAGAATGCCAAGGTGAAAGGCGTTGGTGAGGAGGTGTCGAAGGACAGTCCTCCCAAGGAAACACAATATAGAAATTCTGAGGCTTCGGGAACTACATCGTCTCCGAGTTCATCGCTCTTGTCATCGCCAACGGTGTCTGGAGGTGGATCGGGAAAGAACGGTGGTGGGTCGCCGGAGAAGGAGTTGGGGGGTGACCAAAAGTCAAAGGTTGACTCCGCTTCTGTCCTCCTTGGTGAAGCTACAACTCTCCTCAAGACGCTCAGGACCCTGAAAGCGGTTCGCCTGAAACAGGTCTTTGTGGAGCCCGTGAACACAAGTCTTCAAGGTTTTGCACTCCTTGACGGAGGGGCAACGCATGCCCTCCGAACTGCACACCCTGATGAAAGGAGCGAGATGACTCCCATCGAGGTTGAACTTGCTACAGGTACTACAGTTTTGTATCGCCATCCAAAGCACCGCACCCTTTTGTCCTTGGAGGAGGTGGAGCCGATCATCCCATTGGGGCTTCTGGTTGAACGGGGCTACAAGGTGGAGTGGCGAAAGACGGGTTGCAGTATCCGTCACCCAACACTCGGTGCGATCGACTGCTGGCTTCGATCTGGCTGCCCGATTATGCATCGTCAACCTGCTTTGGACATGCTCTCCCAGATCGAGCTCGAGGATCGGGGGGAGGTGGCACTTTCTGAGGAGGACCGGCAGTGGTGGCAGAAGCATTTTCCTGAACTACCACATCCTGTTCTTCAACACATGGCTGGACAGAGCCAAGATCCAACTACAACGCCCTGGAACCGGAGAATTCGGAGGGCACACCTCACTGGAAAGGGGGTCATTGCACACCTATTCAGTGGTCCTGATGTGAAGAAGTGGAACCGTGTTGGCGGAGGAGCATACTCTTGGCTGTGCGTTGACACGGAGATCAACTCCTCGTTGAACCTGCACAACCCGGCCGTTTGGGGCTATTTGTGGAAGCTGGCGTCTTTGGGACGCATCGTTGCAATTGTTGGAGGTCCTCCCTGCAGGACCGTGAGTCGCCTTCGAAACCGGTCACCACCAGGACCTCGTCGCCTTCGTGGTCGAGGAGAAGATCGCTGGTGCCTCAATGACCTCTCGGAGGAAGAACTTCGCCTGGTTCATGGCGATACAGCTTTGTGCATGAAGCACATGGGTCTATGGATCCGAGCTCAAGAATGCCGCAGAACATCGACGAATGTTGGCATGCTGTTGGAATCACCGCGAGATCCTGCTGAATATCTTGCCGGTGAAGAAGGTGGGCAAAGCGCTTCTTTCTGGTGCTTCCCGGAGCTGATGGCTTGGGTTGGAACTGCTGGCCTTCGCTTGGTCACTTTCGATCAAGGAAAGCTGGGTCACCAGAGGAAAAAACCTACGACAGTTTTGACTAACCTTCCTGCCTTCCAAGAACTACATGGCCTCCAAGGCGATGGTTGTGATGACAGACCACTCCCGTCGAACCTCGGTGACCGCATTCGCACTTCGAAGACCTGGGCAGCATGGGCACCAGGCCTTGTGGGAGCGATTCAAGAAGCTTTGAGGAGGTTGCTTGGCGTTTTGGAGGAGGAAAAGGGGGCTGGAGGTGGTCACCATGTCTCCAAAATGGACCTTGCAGCTTGGCATCGACATATCAAACAGGGTCACATCCCCTTTCGTGCTGACTGCCGCATTTGTGGGGAAGCTATGGGCTGCGACAAACCACACAAGAGGCTTGGGGGGAGCGCCACGAAGTTCACTATGTCAGCCGACCTTTGTGGACCGTTTCCTGAAGGGAAAGATTTGGGCACAGGAGTCATTTGCAAGTACGCACTGGTCTCAACTGTGGCCGTCCCCATCATCTCTGAGCTTCCAGGTGAGGTTGCTGAGCCATGTGACACCGCCAAGGATGTGGAGCACACGGAGGAGATTCCCTGCGAGCCAGAAGACCGTGACCTAGTCCCTGAAGATGAAGTCCGGAGGCTCAATGAAATGGCTGAGATTGAGAAGTCTCAAGAACCGCAAGGACATCAAAATGTCACTCTGGCTGAAGTGATTCCTGATCGCACGGTGGAGTCACTGGTCCGTGCTTTGTCCCGCTTGCACGCCAAGTACCGCATGCTGGGCATCCAGGTCTACAGATTGCACACAGATCGTGAACGATCATTTGCGTCAGCACCAATTCAGAAGTGGTGTGAACAGCGACAGATTCGCTTGACTATGACGGCTGGCGATGACTCCAAGGTCAATGGCCGTGTTGAAGGAGAAGTGAACCAACTCAAGCGCCGCACCAGGTTGTTCCTTCATGATGCTGGACTACCTCACTCCTTCTGGCCAGTTGCCCTTCGCCATGCTGCCGAACAACGTGTTCGACTACAACTTGAACGACTCGGGCTGGAAAGTCCTCCTATGCTTCGCTTCGGAGCATCAGTTTTGGTCAAATCCAAACGATGGCATCGTGCAGGTCAGCTCTCTATGCCATACCGAACTATGCAACTCCTTGGTCCCTGCCCATACATGTCGCATGGCTGGATTGTCCGGGACAAGAAGGGCCAATTGTTGCACGTGCGCACTGCACTTGAACCATCGCCGGTAGCCGATCAGGCGATCATGGAACTCCAAGAGGTGCCTGCTGTGAAGCATCGCATCATTGGAAAACACCCACCTCCACCACCTGACCATCCACTGGCTGGCCGCGTGGGAGCGCTCTATGAGGAGTCGGTTCCAGCTCTAGCAACTTGCAGAGCTGGGGGGGAGGACTCTTTGGATTCTTTGGACTGGTCCTCATCGTTGGATGTTGGCAGGTCGCTTTCACTGGGGCTTGAGCCAAAGGGGGTGTTGGAGGAGGTGAATGGTGGCCACAAACTACATGATAAAGTTGAACCTGGTGATGAACTTTTGCACCATGACCTTCAGGGGGAGGTCGAAGATTCACTGCTGTGTGATTGGCAGCAGGTGGAAAAGTGGCATGAGCTTGAACAACAACGACACTGGGCGCTCAAACAGCTTTGGTGTCAAGGCCTTCGTGAAGTTGCAGTTGGTGAAAACTCCGGCAGTGTCCATGGCAGCTGGCTTCATGAAGTTGAACTACTCCTCAAGGGTGCTGAAGATCAACTGTCGTTTCAGCACTCTGCAATCGAGAACTTCAAGCTGTCGGCATTGGCTCCATCAATGGGAACCCCAGATGCTCCAGCAACAGTGCTTCAGACCTATACGGTCTCACTACAGCAAGTTCGCAGGGAATTGGAAAAATGGAAACCTCCTCTGCGTGATGAATATGGACAGCTGGTGTCCTCAACTCAGGCAATCAAGCCTACTACAGAGGAAAAGTTGCGCCTGGATCCAAGATTTCCCACTATGGAGCTGGCTCCAGCGATGCTTGTTCCTACAGTCAAAAGTCCTCATGGACGTCTTCGAGCTCGGGTGGTCATTTGTGGAAACCATCTCACCAAGGTCAATGAAGAGAGCAACAACTCTGCAGGTGAGACTCAGCCCAAGGACTCAAACCCGTTCTCGCTCTATGCAGGTGGAGCAGATGGAACTACGTTGCGCTGCTTGATGAAATGTGCGGCTGAAAACTCGTGGTCAGTCGGCACGGTGGACATCAAAACAGCCTTCCTTCTTGCACCACGACCTGATGAACAAGAACGTCTGCTCGTCGCTCGTCCACCAAAAGTGTTAATTGAAGCTGGAATTTGCGACGCTTCGGAACTCTGGGAGATCTCGCACGCCGTCTACGGGCTGAACGATGCTCCAGCAAACTGGTCGCAGTACCGTGACCGTGAACTACCTCACCTGCGCTTCTCGGCAGGAGGTCATGACTACCAACTGGTGTCCACACCGGAGCCAAACCTTTGGAAGTTGATCAAAACCGACCCTGGTGCTCTTCCGCAGGAGGACAACTCTGAAGGCTTCCTCGCTGTGTACGTTGATGACATGCTTGTTGCTGCACCAGGTCCCTTGGCAAAGTCGGTGATCGATGGGATTCGGGCTCATTGGCGGTGTTCGGAACCAGAGTGGGCATCGGCAGAAAAGGCCATCAAGTTTTGTGGCTTTGAGATCAGCTGCAGCGACGATGCGGTGATCCTCAACCAGGCCTCATACACTCGAGATCTTTTGTCTCGCCATGAAGGCATCAAACCACGTCAAACGCCTCTTCCTTTGGGAGTTCAAGATGAAGTTGAAGCTGATGTGCAAATCTCCCAAGTCCGACGAGCTCAAGCTTTGGTCGGAGAACTTCTTTGGTTGAGTGGCCGCACAAGACCAGATCTTTGCTACGGTGTCTCCATCATGGGACGTTTGGTGACGAAAGCACCGACCAAGGTTCTGGAGTGGGGTGCTCATATGTTGGGCTACTTGCAGCATACAGTGGACTATGAGCTTCGCTACACCAAGCAGGTGGTGGAGTCGTCCCTCGATGATTGCGATGCTGCCAAAAAGCCCTGCCTGAAAGTGTATTCAGATGCTTCTCATGGACCCCAAGGAGGACGAGGACAGCAAGGTCTTTTGGTGACCTACAATGGCTCTCCAGTGCAGTGGGAGAGCAAACAACAACCGTTTGCCACGCTGTCAAGCGCTGAGGCCGAGCTGATGGGCTACGTTGACGGAGTCGTCATCGGAGAGTCAGTCGCCTCAGTGGTCAATGTGTTGGAGGACAATCGTCTTCATCTCCAAGGCCAACAGGTCCTTTGCGGTGATTCTCAAACCGGGTTGAAGATTTTGGTCGCCCCGGATGGACCCTGGAGAACGAGACACCTCCGCTTGAGGGCATTCGTCGTGAAGGAGCGCATTCAGCAGAGCTGCTGGAAAACCCAACATGTTCCAGGGGCCGAACTTGCCTCAGACCTGCTCACCAAACCGATCGTCAACCCGACGCTGTGGCAGAACTTTTACACCTTCATTGGAGCTCGTGTGTTGTCCAAGGATGTTGACCGAGCTCCAGGTGCATCGCTGTCCAAGTCAAGGTTGATGGCTATTCTGGGCGGCATCATTGGCATGGCGGCATGGAACCCTTCGCAAGAAAGTCACAAGGTGGCGAGATGTGTCACCATCTCAGCTTTGGTAGCTGCACTTGCAATTTGGTGGAAAAAAGACACAAAAGACCCCACAAAGACCAATGGGCACCTGACGGTCGATTCGCGGGCGGGGGCACCCATGGGAAGCGAATCGGTCGAAACAAGAAAGTCAAGATCGGTGAGGGAAAATGAACCCACCGCACGGGAGGGGTTGGGGGGTTGGGACCTAGCCTAAATGGCTATACCTCGGCCGCGTCTCGTGCGTGCGATCATGGCGTGCGGCTGGCTGCGCTTGGGGCTCGCGCTGGACCGGAGCAGCCGGAAGAGCGGATTTGGGAGCGGTTCCCATTCCAGCTCCCTCCGCAAGGTCCACCTCCAGTTGATGACACGCTGGAACCACCCCAACGACGGGCGACTTTGGATTCGGTGGCAGAGAACTCCACTGGCACTCCATCGTCTGAACAGGTGGAATTTCCGACGGCCAATGTGACCTGGGTGAGAACTGAAGTGCATTCGGTGAGGAGGACTTCATCGTCATCGTCCTCTGCACCTTCACAGACCTCTCCCAGCACAAGGTCCAGTGCGACTGGATCTATGGCAGCGGCTCGGGGCTCAGACGCCATTGATGCTGGCGTGACCCTTGGCTACATGGGGCGACTTGGCGGCTTCCTCTCTCGCGGGGAGAACCTGCGATCTGGGCCGGCATCGAGCGCCACAGAAAGTGAAAGTGAAAGGGAAGATTGGAGGAGGAATTTAGATGTGAGCTCAACCAGCTCAGTTCAGGGGCACGAAACGACACTACCTCCTGGACTTCCTCCTCTACACGAACACTTGGATGAGGCGCCACAATGGATGGGCATTGTGAGCCAACTCCCAGTGAGGCCGCGTGGTGTGCCGGGTCAAAGTGACCATTTGAGGGATCCTGATTCGGATTCAGACGGCAGCTATGAAATTTGTGGTTGAAAAACCACTCGAAATGCGGTCGAAGGATCATTTTCTTTTTCCCTAAAGTTTGACCATGCGATGGTCAGGGGGAGTGTGGCAGTTGAAATGGACCACCAACCTCCAAACTTCGTTTGCAGTCAGGTGCACAAAACGAGAAGTGTACTTGAAGCTACTCAGGTGAAACTCGCCATTCGATAAACATCGTTTGGCTCAAGGTTGCGCGGAGAAAAGGATCCGTGCAGCACCACACGACACACCCAACCTTCCCTAGAAAGAATAGAGACGATTCTACCGAAGATGGTTGTAATAGTTTCAGCTGGCATAGCTGTATGAGTGCCACAGATGGACCGTTGAGCAGTTCATCCAAGTTCATCAAAGCCTCAAAACGATTTGGAGAAAACCAGGTTCCAATGGTCACTGTTGGGTCCTTGGCTCAGCTTCCACTGCCCAGGATCCTCATCGAGTTAAAGGAATCAGATGCTGCGTTCCAAAAAAGCTATTGGACGTGGTGGATGAATGGATCTGGGCCTGGGTCATTGAAACCTGAAGATTGCATCATGCAACTAAGCCGTTCATGCCCGTCCTTACCATCCAAAGGTGGTGTTCCTATCTCATGTCCTTGAGAATGGCATTGTCAGAGCTTCTCGAAATTCAGCGGGTTGGTAGATCAGCTAAAGCACTTTCAACAGAGAATCTAGGCCACCCACAATCTGTGGAGGACTCGAGAAGTCCAGCGGAGGCAGTAAAAAGACAAAGGCAATCTTGTCATAGGAGACAATCAACAAGACAGGACATTTGATGTTTTAAGAGCTTTGTCTCATGGTTGTGCCAACAACATAGATCTCTCCCTCTTGAGTTGGCTTCGTCTCACCATAATGCTGCCGATGTCACCGTGTCATTGGCCTTCGCTTTTCCGAAAGTCCTGCTCCGCAACTGTTGAAGCTCAGTGCGTCTTACTTGTTTGAAGCCACCCTCTTGACAAAGCAAAAATGTTGGCTGCAGCCCCGACATCCGAGCTGGTTTATTGGTGAAAACACCAACAGAATTGTCGATCATCAGAGTTTGTGCACGTCTTCGGAAGTAGAAGGAGTCCTGTCGCCACGGAGCGCCATGGAAGACGCCAAAGTGAGCCGCATTCGAGCTCCGCGGAAGGATTTGCCCCGGACGCTGTGGAGGACACGCCCAAGAGTCTGACAAGACATGGGCAAAAGTCCTTCAAGGTGTCAAAAGCAGCTGACGGTAGCTGTAGCTGAGTGAAACGCCTTGGCTTTTGCGTGGAATTGCCAATGCTGGTGTCTTTGTTTTCCGGTCCAAAGCTACTACCACACCTATGTTTCAGCAACGTTCTAGAAAACCGCAAAGACTCTACAGATTGTGGGACCGTCATGCGATCCTTCCCGGAAAACGTCTCCAGCTCTTTGCCGGGACTGGTTCCACGACTGCCGCAGGACTCCGCAGAAGCGGCTCTTCCTGGCACCGGCCATCGAAGCCACGCTGCGGCAGCGGCAGCAGCTGCAGCCCTTGGCCGCCAAGTCGGTGCCCATGCTGAGGCCGGAGTCGTAGCGATGGTGTGTAAATGGAGGAAAGAAAACGAAAGTGATAGAAAGTGAACGAAAATCAGGGAAAATCAGAGGAGGAATGAAATCGGAGTTGATTTCACAATGTTTCACCTATCCTGCTGGGTGATTTTTGTTGGTCTTTGCATGTCATCTCTGAAGATGGAGAGAAAACTGATGGAAGCAGGGCATCCAGGCTCTTCTGAACGGTTATATGCTGAACTCGCGTGTGACATGTTTTTCACCAGGTTGAACTGAAACTCATGCTTCGCTTCATTCGCTTCTGCTCCGAGGCCCAAGGCCGAGAATGAGGCGCCTTTCAGCTGGATCAGCCAGTGACGGTGAGATGAAATGACGTTTGAGACACATCTCCTACACTGTACACACCTCGAATTGGCCTACTTTCTCGTGCGTTTGCTATTTGGAAGACTCCTCGATGTCTCTTCTAATTACATTTGTCAGAGGGTGTGTGTAGAATGCGTTTGGTCGGCGATGTTTAGCAGCGGGTTCCTCCCACCTCGTTTGAAACACTTTCGTCACTGGTTCAGGCAAACCGCGAGGAGCTTTTCAAGGAGACTCCCTGGATTGTTGTGGATAGTTTCAGGTCGTTGTGCCGGGTTTCTGCCACTAGACCAATAGTCTGCCAATCTGCAATGTTTTTTTGGTTTTCATGGAACATACCGAAGGCAGTTCTTCCGAAATTAGACTGTTCCCAAAACACATCTGGCCATGTTGTTAGTTTGGAGGATACCCTGACGAAGGAGAAGAGCTACGATGCCGAATCTTGGGGTCAGGAGGTGGGAGAGGAGAGAGGAGAGAGCCTGCGGGTCTTGAGGATTTTGCTGCAAATTATTCATCAACTGGTCGGTCTACGGCTTCAAAAGTTCGGACGAGATTTGTCACCATTTGGCCTCCAGGCCTGGTTGAACATCTTGACTGGAGAGAACCGCTGAAGCCTCAGAGAGCTGCAGTTACCATATATCTCATAAGTGCCTTGAAAGCTCAGATGCAGATGTTTTTCTTAGAAAGCTCTCAGAGACCGGTAGAGACAAGAATTCATGCCCAGCACTGATGGTGGCAATGTTTGATAGAAGAAGACGGTGTATGCTTCACACTTGGCATTCACAAAGTTTGGGTAACAGATACCCAGCGCAGATCCATACACAGGAGAGTACAGCACTTAACTTAGCAATATCAGCGCATAAAAAATGCGAAGACTGCAAGTCTTCTACCAGACAGGGTCAACCTAAGGACTTTTAGGTTTGCTAGATGGATCCTTGTTGGGGCAAAACTGGTGGGTCGAGAAACACTCGACGATCCCCCGCAAGCGTCACACCTCGTCGCTGAGGTGTGGAGATTCCGTTCAACGAAATCTCGGCTGCAAGCCATGGCGAGGCACAAAGCGACCGAAGGGAGAAAGAACGCTGAAGGAATTGCTGGTGTGAGTCAGCAACAATGCTTGGATCGAGTCTGAATAGGAAGCTTGATTGAAGTCTGCTTGACTCATTTCAATGTGAAAACAGAACTAAACAAGCTTCGTGGATGAGAACAAACCGAAATCTGCAGGAGTACATCCAATGGTATGAGGATCAGCGTGCTCAGAAACGAGCGGCGGCGCCGCCGAGTAGCTCGTCCAGCAGATGTCGATGCGAGTTTGGGCAATGCATGTTCCCAGCCGCCTTGCAGAATGGGATTGCAACAAACTTGACCATAGGCCTTGTTGTAATTTCTGTTCAATAACCTCTTTGTCCACTTGAGGACTCCCGAACTTTGGTCGGGTCCGATGATGGGATGCCAAGCAGAGTTGAGGTTGAGGCGGTTAATGGTATAGTCAGGACTCCATCCCGTCATCCGGAGCTTCTCTAGCTAAGAGCGTCATCAGGTTGGGTGCAGAGACGAGGACTGAGGGCTGGTGGATTTGCGCGACGACTCTTTAAAGACTCTTTAGAGAAGAATATCAGAGGCTGAAGGGTGTTCTGCCTAATGCTTATGTTTTGAAATGTCGGTTGCAAGTACATGACCGTCACAACATGTCATGGTCGCTTTTTCACTGCGCTGCGCACTGATGCATCAAGTCCTGCTTAATTTGTAGTCGTCGCAGGATCCCTCGCGCCCATGTCCTTTTGGCGCGCCGCTTTGACGGACTTCGCTTTGTCCTCCCTGCAACCAACACCAGGCCAGTCTGTCAGGATCAGCGGATGAGGGGGCAAGGTGCTGCAGTTTCAAGAAGTTCACTATACTAGTATCTAGTACATGAACCGATATGGATGATACCATGATAAGGCAGTGTTAAACATATTTCATGGATTTGTCTTTTTTGTCCAAGGTCTTGGGGGTGCACAGATACGCAGCTGACACAACAGCTTAAGCCCTGTGAGACCTCTACCTGCAGAGAGATCATCCAAAACCACCGCCACCTGAGGAGAACTGCTGCAGCTGAAGGGCCGAGCAGTGCTCCTGCGACATTTGGAGGCCAATGCCACACCACAAGGCGACGACGGGCAAGCGGCATGCCACGTGCGGCAGCATATTCACGGGTGGGGCAGCAATAGAACGGGGTTCAAGTGTAGCAGAAGTTTGTACTTTGTACAGGTCGAGTGGAAAATGTTTGGTGTTTTGAAGGCAGCGTAGTAGTGCTTGAGCCCAGAACTTGTGCTAATAGTCTTTGAGCTATGACGCTGCAGCGCAGACGCATTTGAGGCCTTAAGGCCCTGGCAGAGTGCATCATGCTGCGCTTGGGTGAGGAGCAGAGGCGAGGCGTTGGATTCAGCACTTGGGTCACCAGACGTGGGCTGTTGCGTATGGCGTTTTCAGCTCAGTGTTTTTGTGGTGGTTGGTGGAAAAGCTTCTTGCCTCAAAGGCAGACTGGTCTCACTTCCAAAAAAGGCCTTTCGATTGGCACATGTCTTTGCTACTGGCTTTGCTCATGCAGTTAGGCAGTTTTTTGAGGATCCAAGTTTGGAAGTTTGGGAAGAACGAGCCTTCTGCCAGGGCCTTGCCGATCCTGAAGAAAGGTTTCGGTGACCAGGCCTTGAGCGTAGTGGCATAGCGTCAGCTTGGCGGGATGTGTTGCAGACTGGGAAGGAAATGACATGCAAACAACCCTGGAAAATATGTACATGAAGATTTATAGCCTGGTGTTTGACTTCAATGCTGATGCCTTTCCGGTTTTTCTCGCTGCCAGATGTCGTTGCTGGACTTCGCTGGTTTCTGCGCCGTGCTGGACCTGGACTTGGATCTTCTGCTGGGCTCATCTGCACCGCAGATCTTGGCCCATCTCCTCCCAGGCCACTTGGGCCTCCGGTGCCGTTGTGGATGAAGTTTCGAACGCTTGCGAGGTGAAATCCATTTTTTTGAGTGATGAAAGATGAAAGAAAAGAGACTTTCTTGACCTCAGACCTCCTTCGGCCCTACAAAGCAAGCGGACCAAGTGCGACAAGGCCAAGTGACCATGGACTGCTCCGTGCTGCTTCAGCCGCCCACCGTGCAGCCGGCGGAGCCCACGGGGGACTTCGTGCGTTGCCAGGTTGTGGCCCCACCGGTCAGCGCGAGAGGGAACAGAGAAGTCAATGAGTAAGCTCTCCTTTACTCGCTGTTTTTTGCTTGTGTTCTTTAGATAAATGTAAGTGAGCTTAATAACCTACTAGCAATGGCCTCCACTTGCTTCTGTGGAAGCCTTTGGTTTGCATTGATACTCGGATGGGCATCGTTTGCGTGGACAAAGTCTCATCAGCTGAACCCTTTGAAGTTTTTTGCACTTCCCACTTCTTAGTCTGACAAAACCAACAGTCACAGGTTCTTCATACAAACACGGTTGTTCACCCTGAGACACTCAGGGCAAGTGGTGGCTTTTGGGCCGCTACCTGGGCCTTTTGGCTCTGCAAGGCGTTGAAGGCAGGCTTTTGTCCCTGTCTCCTCCAGTCAGGAAACGGGATATGAAATTCTGAGAGCTCTGAGAATGCAGAGTTTCCTCATCGAGAGAACGTCTGCGAGAAGTGGCTGCCGGTCTAAAATCTGAAGTCAAAGTGGTGCACTGAATTAAGACTTCGTTCGGTGATTGCAAAGAAAAGACAGACCGATGTGTCGTGCCTTGTCGCTCGTGACAAGAACGCTCTTTTGAGCCCTCAAGAAACTAATTACAAAGACGAGATCCTTCTCTAAAGCCTAATTGTGTTCTCGCTCTTTCGAACCCCGACCTTCAGGCAGCGAAAAATCCTGGCAGGACAGGAGTTGGGAGGATCTTCATCCACCATGAGAGTCTAACAACAGCAGCGTTGAAACGACTTCACGTTTGCATGTTCATCACGAATTCCATCATATGAGCTGCCAGAGATCTCGACTTTGATGTATTCCTGTCCTCCTTCTAACCTCTACAATCCAGCACGGGTTTAAAACTCACAAACTCCACGGAATCCTCCAAGAAGATCAGCTCATCCAATCGGGTTTCCTGCATCGGCTTCTGCTGAACGGAGGATTTGAAGCTCCGGATCGAGGCACAGCTGAGACACCTCCAGCGCTGCTTGAAGCCCTTCTTCTTCGGTCTCATCACCAGCCGCCCCGAGGCCAAGCGTGAGGGGGAAGTGCAAAGAAAAGAGCACAGCGGGTTTGGATGTGGAGATTTGATGGAGATCTGGGGCGAGGGACTTTGATAGGTTCGGATTCTGTATTGATTCTGTGGCTGCACTGAGTCATGAGGAATAGAGGTCGCTTGTCCAAGTACTAGAGAGATGTAGCAGCCAGTGTTTCTTCCACCGGCCTTGCCGCCACTTGGAACCCAATCCCAAAGCGATACCCCAAGTAGTCCTCACATGTTATTAGCTTCGGTCCATAAACGCTCCTGCCTCCAGGAACAGCAAGGATCCAAGCTGCTTTCCTTGAGTCTTGGCAGAAGGAATGCTTCAGCGTGTTGGCCATCGCTACTAGGGTGGAGGCCATCGCTACTAGGGATCAGGACGCTACTGTACTATATTCTGATGCTTTAGATCTTCAGTTGATTCAGACAGGAAAGCATTCTGATTACGGTCACATCCGGCAACGAAGAACGGTGGCAGGACAAATCCCACACGAATCTGTGCCCATCGACCGAGGAGCGATTGGACCTCGTTCTTTCGGGACTTGGAGGACGTGGACGCGCGTTGGAGCACCAAAGTGACCGCCCGGAGCCTCAAAAGCACCAGCACGCCCACGCCTCACAGCTGGAGGCTCAAGACCAGAGGGTCTCCGATTGATCGAAATTTGACACATGCATGATCAGTAAGAGATACATGACATATATTGGAATACATCTGGCCCGAAATGGGTCAGGGTAGGAGATCAAGGAACTCCAAATGAGTGTGACAAAAGCCAGCTGGACCTGCTGCAGTCCTTTTGCAGGGCGCTGTGCTTAATCAAGCCTTCGAGAAAGCTTCAGAAGAGGCCTGGTGGCGCAAAATATCGTGGTGGGTTCAGGGTTTGCTGATGCAGCTTTGATACAGGAACAGCAGTGCACTCGCTGATGCACCTTTCTTTTGTGGTATTTCATGCATGTAGGTCTTCATAGGTTTGACGGGGTGCCCGGTATATGCTCAACAACAAGCCCGATCTTTTTTTATGGAGAACATTTGGAGTGCATTTGGAGAAAGCCTGATGTAGGGCCTCAGTATGATGAACATTTGCTCTCAGTGCTTCTTTTAAAGAAGATGATATTGAGCTTTGCCTACTTTGTCAGCCGTTTTCCTTTCATTTAGTTGTGAGCCAGCAGTTTGTATAGATGAAAATCTAAATCTTCACCACCGGAGTGTGCAACAGGGTGGTCTGAGCTTCGAGTCCTTCAAGAACGCTTTGAAGCATTGCGTCGAGGTCATTGAGTCGGAATGCAAGCGGGTTATGTTGTTGGGTGATTTTAAGGCCGCTTTGAGGCGAGGTTGTTGGGTGAGTCAGTGTCTTTTTCGGAGTGCCTGGATCCACTAACTTTAAGCATGTTTCTTCCTTCTGAAAGGAACAAGTGCATCGCTGCTAGTAACAAGGGCACTACTACTAGGAGCAAGACGTAGGCTACTAGTAGCTTCTTGTTCTCAGTAGCGATGCACTTGCTACTAGTAGCTTCTAGCTACTAGTAGTGATGCCCTTGTTACTAGTAGCGATGCACTTGTTACTAATAGCTTCTTGTTACTACTAGTAAGGCACTTGTTACTAGTAGCTTCTTCAAAGGCCTATAGGGAAGATGTCCTTGTGCCGAAGCTTGCCAGAGGCCCTTCCCGGATCTTGGGAGGCCTTGGCCACAGTGGCAAGATCTGCCCCTTGGATTTGATCCCAAGCAGCTCTTCCCCCGGCGTGTAGCTTTTCCAGTGAATAATCAGGTAGCTTGGTGAATTTGCGTTTTGACTGAACTCTGCTACTTGCAAGGATGACTCCCTAAAGGCATTGCCTTTCTGACCTCAAACTCTTTATTGCTTCCACTTAAAGGACTATACAAACTCTACAGATCCTGAAGGCTCACAGAGCCAAAACCAAATCGTCGCTGCCCAAGGCGAAGTGAGATGCCGTGACTGGGAAACCCCAAAGGGGTGGACCATCTCAGCAGCTTCAGAGCTGTGAGTTACGGTCAAAGTCGGAATCCGACGAAGGGAATGGAGCCATATGGATCATCAGTTTGCACAGACGGGGCCAGATGGTTTGAGAGCATTCAACTAGCCTCTGACCAAAGAGAAAGGTAGGTTGGAGGACATCGCTATTAGGTTGGAGGCCATTGCTATTTGGTTCCTTTAAAGTGTTCTTCTTAGTCTACATCAGTAGCGGTTTCTCCAAGTCGGTTTCTCCGATGTGACGATTCTAGCAAGTGGTGTCAGCACCTCCGACAGCAGATGCTGCCGTCGTGCTGACGGATGCAGAAAGGAGTGAATCTTCAATGCCAAATTGCTTAGGTCTTTGTTGAGGGAAAAGGAGGCTGTTTTCCTTTTTTAGTTCACAAATCTTCATACAAATGAAAGCCGAAGGTGTCGACTTCGGGCCATTGCCTGTATCGGCCCATGGTCATCACCCTTGAATTTGCTTCCTTTCAAAGTCATCCAGGTGTTTGTAGCTCCGCGCTTCGCAAGTTCCAGCCGCATCCAGCAGCTTTTTGATGAGGTTCTGTTGATTTTCCTACCAATAATTTGTTATCATCCACGAAAGAAGAAGAGCTGGAACCCGCTGGAAAAAGCGAAGGCAAAGAGTTGCGGTCGAGACTTTAGCGCCCAGATGTGATGCGCCTTTGTATATCTACGTAAAAACATAAACATGTGGATTGATGCTACTAGTAAGGCACTTGTTACTAGAAGCGATGCACTTGTTCCTAGTAGCTTCTTTGCTCCGTATATCGCAAAAACATGTGGGCCAAGTGCTGAGGGATGTGTCCGGTGTGCCTTTTCCAGTCGTTGATTGCTTTTCTTTTGACCTCTTGAGGCTAACAGGCTTGGCTTGGCATCTCGGATCAGGGGCTTTTCCTGTATGAATCCTATCATGATGTTCTTCCATCTAAAGACATGTCCAGGAATTGTCAAAGCACACCTACACTTGGGACCATAGCCACCGAGTCATTCCGCGATATGCTGCACACCACGATGCCCCAAAGCCAAGAACGCTTGGTCTAACTGAGTGCCATCATCGTGCGCCATGCCTGTCTTCTCTCATGAAGTCCCAGGCACTGAGGAGCAAAGTCCCGAACTCCAAAAGAAAATTTTCTGACCAAGCCATCACTAGTAGGTTGGAGGCCATTGCTATTAGGTTTCTTTAAAGGCTTCTTTCTTAGTCTAGACCCTTCCAAATCAGACATCGCAGGACGCAGAACGTGGCTGGGGTCCATCTCACCGCGCGTGTGATGGACAGGACTGTGCGCTTGCGGACCGGCGGGACTGCGTGTCGTGGACTCCGAAACCTGTTCTTGCCAGAATTGAGAAGCGTACTTGTTCATAGTAGAAAGAAGAAAGATGAAACAAAACTGAAAATTCCTTAGGGAAATGTGAGTTCAATTAAGAAGGGAATGAACGTTATTTCTTGTCTTTAAGCAAAGAATAGTTCAGGCCAAAACCTGGCACGCCTACCACCCGGGAGCGGAGCACTTGGGGGGAATTGCGTCTGATCCTAGGAGCCAACGCTTGCCATCTTTGATGAGCAATCAGGTGATCAGGCCTCCCATGAGCCTCACGTTTTGGAACGCATTGGCTATTTCCTTTCATGGACGTCTTTCAGGAAGTCACTCTTTTTTCGGCGTTTCTCGAAGTTGGACCACTCGGTTCTGAAAAGTGTTTTGAAATCCGTCGGAGTTGGGACAGTGACTTTGTGGCGTACCTTCCCGGAGTTTGCTTATTCTTTTGAAGTGGAGGCCGCTATTAGATGGGAGGCTTGGGTTTGTTCTTTTTGGGGATGTCAGTTTCGCCAGGTGAAGACGTCGTACGAGAACTTTCAGAACGCGCGTCGCAAGTTCTCCAACAAGCCCTTCCTCGGCCACAGGCCGTTTGGATGCTAAAGAGTCTCTTTTGTAGAGCAATTGCAAGTAGCTCTGAATCCGAAGATGCCTGATCAGAAAGATGTGTTTTTCGAAAAAGCAAAGATCAAGACAATCGACTCATGATGTCTCTATCATTCTTCCAATCAGAATGAGTCCAATTCTTCGACTGCATCTCCCCGTCCGTCGATGTGCTTCTCCGAGGCCCATTGCTTCGGACGGCAGCGCTGGGCCGTACGTGGGGAGACCCAGCTCAGAGCTTCCCACGATCCTCCGGAGTCTTCGCAGAGTCTAATGAGTCTTCTTGCTACTAGTAGCAAGGTGCCTTGCTAATAGCAACAAGCTACTAGTAAGGCACCTTGCTACTAGTAGCGATTGTTGCACCTTCCTGATTGAAAGTTAAGGGCAAGTTTTGTGCCTTCCACTTAGGTCTGGAGCACATTTGAAGAAGTGGGGAAAAGGCCGGCCGGGCTTCCAGTGGTTACAGCAGACCGGCAGTGCTCATGGAGTGTTTTCTTCGAATCACTTTCCATGTGGTCCTGCTACACCGTTGTGAGTTGTTTCTAGTAGCGTCCTTGCTCCTAGTAAGGCCAGGAGCCCCTAGTAGCGCTCCTGCTCCTACCCCGCGCGCGCGCGCGAAAAGGTCCTAGTAGATTCCTTTGCTAGTAATTACAATTCTAATTAGATTCTTATTGTTACTAGTAGTAAGGCACTTGTTTCTACTAGCTTCTTGTTACTAGTAGTAAGGCCCTTGCTCCTAGTAGTAAGGCCAGGAGCCCCTACGATGTCATTCCGACCATGTCGTTGATCGGCCGCACACGTCCAACCTGCTCGACTCCTCAGGGCCGAGAACTTTGGATCTGGCTTGTTGAACTTGGGCCTTTGCCCTCGCCCAAGAGTCGACGCTTTTCTTTTCGGAGAGGGAGGGTTCAAAGTGCGAGGAGGATAATAGATATATATGGGTAAGCTAGGCAGTCGCAAGGAAGCTACTGGAAGCAACCTTGGCTACTCTTGGGTTCCTTTCTGTTGAGGAAGGATGAAATGAAAAAAGACACTTTTCTTTGGATTTCCACAAAAATCAGCATCTTCCAAGCATTTTTGAGGAGCCCAGCTGTCACCGAGGTCCCAGTCGGCCAGACCCGGAAGTGCGAGATCGGGGCATGTTGGGGTGCGCTTCTCGTGATTTCGTTTTGGACACTCTTTGGGGACTCTTTACCTGAGAAGCTTTGTGAACAAACTTGGAGACCCTTGCTATTAGGTTGGAGGCCATTGGTTAGTAGGTTGAACAAAATGTCATTCTGTCTTCACCGAAAGGGTATCGGTTCAATTGGCGCCAGGATCTATGCGAAGAATCGGCCTGAATGGGCCGGGGGGCTGAATCGTTGAGCTAGGCGTAGTCCCAATTCGGGTGGAAACGCTCCGGATACTCGGAACAACAACCTCAGTGGCCACCGAACCCTTGTGACTCACAAGGGGGTGGAAGCCCATTGATGAGAAGAGAATGCTTTCTTGTTCGGAAAGGGCATTCCTGTTTCCACTTGATAGCAGCGTCCAAGATCTGTGGCCAGCAGTGTGTTTGCCTTGCAAATGAGTTTTTGAAATTGTGTTTGTTTCGTTCAGATCAGCGAGAGGGTTCAACCCATTGTCGGACTGAATAGCATTGTAGCTCAGAAGGTTCCAATCTGCAGTGCCTCGCACTGGACTTTGTGGTAGATGGTGTGTTTTAAACAAGTCTCCTGTGTCCTGTCCTTCTGCAGGTGTTCAGTCTGAGGTTTCTAGCTTCTTGTTACTAGTAGTAAGGCACTTGTTACTAGAAGCGATGCACTTGTTCCTAGTAGCTTCTAGAAGTGCATGACCAAAAGGAGTCTTGTTGCTGAAGCCAGTAGTGAGAGCGCAGACTTTGGCGGTTGACGAGAGTTTTCTCCTTCTTTTGTGACGAGGTGATCGCTGAGCAAGGATGCTTCACACAGGCGCAAACCACAGGATGTACTTTTTCAAAAAGACACTGAGAAAGGAGGGACCAGCAGTCGCCGTCGGTTTAGAGGGACGTTTCTCATAAGAACACCTTCCAGCTATTTCCTGCACAAGAATCAGGTAGCCAAGCCTTTTCCTGTAGCCACTAGGAACAAGAAGCTACTAGGGGCTCCTGGCCTTACTACTAGGAGCAAGGATGGTACTAGGGGCTCCTGGCATCGCTACTAGGAACAAGAAGCCTACAGTCAACCTGAGAATGTCCTCAGACTCTCGACTCAGAAACTTCGATAAGTTCAGATGTCTGGGGTGAGGAGTTCTTGAGTGTTCTTATTTGTTGTAAGTAGGCGTCTACTTAATTAAGTAAGGGAGAGGCAGCTAGTACCTTACTAGTATGGACGCAGGATAGCTCACACTTCTTCAATGAAGCTCCCCCCCGCCGCCCTAAAGGGAGCTTCCTTGAAGAAGCGCTCGCACTCATGATTTGGCTCCTAGACTTTTAGGGAAACTTGGACCATAGGAGTTTAAACTTAACTAGTAGCATGAAGCTACTAAGGGCTCCTGACCTTACTACTAGGAGCAAGGACGCTACTAGGGGCCCCTGGAGTAACAAGAAGCTACTAGTTACTAGAAGCTACTAGGAACAAGTGCATCGCTACTAGTAACAAGTGCCTTACTAGTAGTAACAAGAAGTTATTAGAAGTAAATTACATCTAAATTAAATTAATAGCTTTTTCTTACTACTAGTAAGGCACTTGTGACTACTAGTAAGGCACTTGTGACTACTAGTTCATTTACAACAGCTGATGGTCAGTCCATCGTCACGGTTCCCATGTACGACACTTTGGGTGCTGAGAGCCCGTGGCCTCGGAGCGACTCGCCGCGCCCGCCCCACGCGCCCCCCGACGTCGCTGAGGTCGTTGACACCAAGACTTTGCGGAAAGTCTTGTTCCTAGTAACGTTCTTGTTACTACTAGTAAGGCACTTGTTACTAGTAGCGATGCACTTGTTCCTAGTAGCGTATTGTTCCTACTAACTTTCTTGTTCCTAGTAGTACGGCCAGGAGCCCCTAGTAGCGTCCTTGCTCCTAGTAGCGATGCCAGGAGCCCCTAGTAGCTTCTTGCTACTACCAAAACAGATACTTCTCGATTTAGACGATTTTTTCGATTAAGGTTTTTATTCTGGCGCGTCAATGGATCGTGAATGAACTCTTCTCGAATTGTACCCCGTAGCCGTTCCCCCAAAGACGACCAAAATGACACGTCGACAATCAGTCCCCTTGAGGCGTTGCCTATGTGGTCAAGCAGTGCAATTTGAAGACTGTGGTGTGCTCCGCATAGACCTGAGACCATCTTTTCCGGAGAACTTGTGACCAGGACCTGGACCTTTTCCGGAGGAAGCAATTTGACTTCGGATTTGACTTCGAAAAAGAGTTGCACAGCTCCAAAGAGGCTAGGGTGGAGGCCATCGCTTCTGTGTTCCAAAACGGTGGACCGGTGAGATCAAGGCCGAGACCGCCAAGTCCGCCATCAACTGCAAAGCGTGCTGCCCAAGTCTGGAGTGTTTGCGCCTCAAATCGGTCCGTGCACGGATTTCGGTCCTTGCAAAGAAGCTAGTAGTAACAAGTGCATCGCTACTAGGAACAAGTGCCTTACTAGTAGTAACAAGAAGCAAACACTCTTGAGATCCAAATGGCATCTCACGTCTTCCATATGTTTGGGGCTGGTTCAGCAACTCTTTCAACCGAGACTGTTGAGTGTGTTTGCCATTTCAGCCGTTTTGGTGCTTTTTTTTGGAAACCGGACCAAGTAGCTGCGCACACGTTTCCTCATTCCACGTCATCGGCCAGGTTTGATTCTCATGGACGTCTCCGAGGATCTCCGGAGCCAGGTGACGGCCGCAGGGCTCCGCGTGTTCAGCGTGGAGGAGGCGCAGAGGAAGAAACAGAAAGGGAAATGCTGCAAGGAACCTGGATGTTTGTTTTAGCAGGCTCCTACTTATTTAAGTAAGGGAGAAGTTCCCTCCTATCTACTGGGACGCTACGACATATAGACGCAGAACAGCTTCTAGTGATTTGGTTCCTAGACTTTTTGGGAAACTTAACGTGTTGTCGTTTCCAGTCATTGGCCCAAGAAACGTAGCGGAATCTTTGGTACAAGTTTCTTTGTTCCAGCCTCCAACCCAGTAGCGTCCTTGCTACTCTACTAGTAGCGATGCCAGGAGCTACTAGTAGCTTCTTGTTACTAGTAGTAAGGCCAGGAGCTACTAGTAGCGTCCTTGCTACCAGCTTCTTGCGGTATTTATTTGCTCTCTTCTTCCTTGTTCAATCCATAGGTGGAGAAGGAGGGAGCTGCAAAGCCTCGACCACACTTGGCACCGCTTCCAGAGGATGTGAAATAGACTGTGTGTGTGTGAACCACCGTGATGTCTTTTAGGTTTGCTAACCTTTTTGCCAATTGCTTTGCATGCTTTGCTCATGTCTTGAAGCGCGTTCAGTATGCCTTTAGTTGCTTCTTTGGCAAATTCTTTGGCAAATTGAGCAACATCAGGACATTCTCACCTTCTGCTACACCTCGGGCACTACTGGAGATCCCAAGGGTGTGCTCGTCACGCCCGGAAGCCCACGTGTCCAGAATGTATATTGGTGAAGGGTCGTGAGGAAGAAGCGGTCAACACCTAAGATCACATGTTAGCAATGGCCTCCAACCTAGTAGCAATGGCCCTCAACCTGAGAGCGATGGCCTCCCACCTAAGAGTGATGGCCTCCAACCTAGTAGCGATGGCCCTCAACCGAAGAGCGATGGCCTCCCACCTAAGGCCTCCAACCTAAGAGCGATGGCCTCCAACCTAGTAGCGATGGCCTCTAACCTGATGGCAATGGCCTCCAACGTAGTAGCGATGGCCCTCAACCTGAGCCTCCCACCTAAGAGCGATGGCCTCCAACCAAGTAGCGATGGCCCTCAACCTAAGAGCGATGGCGCAATGGCCTCCAACGTAGTAGCGATGGCCCTCAACCTGAGAGCGAT